GCGCCGTACGGCTCTCTTATGTAATCTGACGTTTTCTGTGAATTGAGCGTTTAAAATGACAATGACTCGAGTTTGACCTGAATACCACAGCGATGCAACAAGGCCTGAGTTTCCCAAACATTGCTGCTAAACAAATCAGGGCTCACCTGAGGAAATCAACCACATATAAAAGCCTAAATGCAATGATTTGCCAATGCACAACTAGTCTGGACTGGACTTGCTGCAGGATGACGCACACTATGTCATTTAGTACTTACTGTTAGAGGTTTGTAATAGGGCTTCTTGACTTTGCAAACATCATTAAGAAACATTTAGATAATAAGTCAAGTGCAGCTGATCTTAAAGCTCAATTTCACCCCTGAGAGAGAAAACAGAGCTAACCAAAACCATTAGAGTAATGACTCGAACACTACTGGAGCTGACAACAACAGCACAGTCACATGGGCATGAACTGATCAAATGCAAACCTGTACAAGAATGTATGAAAACACACATTTGATTCACACTTTCAGATAAAACCAAATTCATTCTGATGTTCATGAAAACATGAGCAACGTTCATCCAGTAAAACACTGAAACATGTCTACATCCAGCAGAACAAGCAACTGTTCCAAATGCATTAGCAACTGCCTAGCAACCCCTGATAACACCTTGACAACTGCCTAGCAACCTGGCAACTACCTAGCAACCCTTAATGACATCTTAGCAACTACACAGCAACCCCAAAAACACCTTGGCAACTACTTAGCAACGTTTAACAACACCCAAGACACCCTAATGACATCTTAGCAACTACACAGCATCCCCAACAACACCTTGGCAACTGCCTAGCAACCCCCTAATGACACATTGGCAACTGCCTAGCAACTTCTAACGACATCCTAGCAACTGCCTAGCAACCCCTAATGACATCTTAGCAACTACACAGCAACCCCAACAACACCTTGGCAACTGCCTAGCAACACATTTGCAACTACCTAGCAACCCCTAACAACACCTTAGTAACTACACAGCAACTCCTAACAACACCTTGGCAACTACCTAGCAACCCCAAAGAACATGTTAGAAACGGCCTACCAAGTAGCAACCCCTAACAACACCTTAGTAACTGCTTGGCAACTCCTAACATCACCGTAGCAACTACCAAGCAACCCATCTCAACAGCTTAGCAACTCCACAGCAAGGCATATAGAATTGTTTTTAAATTACAAAAGGCAGATGCCACCTCGACACACTCGCATAAATGCACAATCATCATCTCGGTCACATTCTGATGTTTTATGAGTGGCAGGCATGTGCTGCTGTGTTTTAACCCTTTCAGCTACAGCAGTCATCATAAGAAAACACCCTTTCGCTGCATGCATTCTCTTCATCAAATGGAAATTTGTGCTAAGACGTATTTTCAATGTTTTGTTGTCTGAACATGACTTGAATTTATCCCTCATAACCTCATTTACAAACAGTTATGTGATTAGTCAAGCAAATAAACACATTATTGCTTTAAAGAACATTTGAATGATTTCAAAATTCACATTTAAGACTCTTAAGGCCCGTTCACACTAAGAACGATAACTATAAAGATAAATATAACGATAACGATATTAGCGTCCACACCAGCGGACGATATCGTCTGTTTATTCTAAGCGCACACGCGTCTGTCACTTTAAATTCTCGAGCTCGTTATAGCAGGATGGATTCTGATTGGCTGTCAATGTTTGTATCCAATGTTTGGATTCCAACGATATCGTTGCTCTGTGCCTTTATCGTTATAGCTGTGGTGTTATCTTTATAGTTATCGTCCTTGGTGTAAACGGGCCTTTAAAGTAAACAAAAAGTAATCACTGCTCGAAAACGGCTTTATATTCTGATTGTGTAGGGTGACCAGATGTCCCGTTTTTCCCGGGACAGTCCCGTATTTCAGCTCTATTTTAAGTGTCCCCTGACTTATTTTGAAAAAATCATGTTTTGTCCCGTATTTCAAAATTTCTTTGCGACTGGGTGATCAGAGCAAGTAGTAGAAGTGTTCTGTCACGCGAGAACAGACTAATCAAAGGTAACTAAGCTTGTCGTAGAACAAAATTACCATCCAATCACAATTCGTTATCGATTAACTTGCAGTAAGTGAAGGCGGAATCATGCAGAATGACACCAGAAACGCTCTCTCGGCCGCGCGTCTGCGTGAGCAGTTCTGCGATCAGTTCTCCTTGTGACTGTCAAAATGTCCATCGTGTGAATTATCACACGTAAATACAGTCGGTTATGGCTTAAGTGAACGTAAACAGGTGGGTGAAAACCGGATGTGTGTCAGTATATTACATTCATTCGGTCTTAAAGGGACAGCAGCCTAATTAAAACTTGTCTGTCTCAGTATTAGTAATGTTAATCAAACAAGATGTTAAATAGGCCTAAATGTATACATGTTGAATAAACCTACTGTATTAGAAAAATGAGTTTATTTAATTTGTATCTATCGTATTTGTCTTATGGTTTATCATTTGCTTCTCTATTTTTATATAACAAAATAACTATGTAAGCATGTGTGTGTGTGTGTGTGTGTGTGTGTGTGTGTGTGTGTGTGTGTGTGTGTGTATATATATATATAAAATCTGGTCACCCTATGATTGTAAGACAAACTGAACCACTCTACTCCCTACTGACACACAAATCAATGCAAAAGACATTATTTTCATCCAGATTCGTGTCTTTAGTCCACCAGTGCTGGATTCACAGGCTCAGATTCAGACGCTTCTTATAAAGCATCACAACATTCAAAGAAGAATCACAACTGAGAGCTCAGATCCAGCGTCAGACTTACAGCAGATCCCTGCGGACCACATTCATCCCACTGGGAGACGCGCACAGAAAAACACACAATACAGACACTCACAGAGATAAGCATCAACAAGATCTAATGAAAGGAAAAATATTAAACTGTTTCCAGCATTGATATAATAAATCAGCATATTAGAATGATTTCTGAAGAAGGATCATGTGACACTGAAGACTTGAGTAATGATAATCCAGCTTTGCTTCATAGGAATAAATTGCATTTAAAGGTATATAAAAAAAAAAACAAAAAAAAAAACTGTTATTTAAAATTGTAAAAATATTTCTCAAAATTTGTTTTTTTCCTGCATTTTTGATCAAATAAATACAGCCTTGATGAGCATAAGAAACTTATTTCAAAAACATTAAAAATCTTACTGATCCCAAACTATATATATAATATTTATATTATAACGATATAATATATTATATTAACAGGGGAAAATACCTGTGTGAAAAACATTTAAAATGTACAAACTAAATGGCAACTATAAATGTGCATTATAATATGAAGTCATTCAGTGCCACTTAGAGATAAGTAAATAAGACATCAATGATATCACCAAAACAAACCAGCGTGCAGCAAACTAGTTTGAGTAAATATTGATGCAGGCGTCTCCATGAAACGAACAAACAAAACACATTACATTCTCACTCAGTTCATCCAAAACTCCTGGATACGTTTCAAAGACTCTTATGGCTAAAATGACCAAACATTACCCAATTAAATGATCTATTGCAACAAGCAACCCAACTGCATAGCAACCCCTAACAACACTTTAGCAACATACTGCAACAGCTTCGCAGCCACACAGAGAGGCGTATAGAATTATTTTTACATCACAAAAGGCAAATATGACCTTCAAATCGCTCTACAGGATGCTGCCTAAACACAAATGCATTAATGCACACCTCAGCAAATTATGATGTATTATGAATGACAGGCATGTGCTGCTGTGATTTAACCCTTTCATGCACAGCAGTCATTATAAGAAAACACCTGTTCGTTTACTGCATGCAGTGGAGTGCACACAGCTGTTGACAGCACACCTGAAAAAATTATTTACCAGCTTAGCTGGATTAATGTTTGCACAAAGTCCTGTAACTTTACCAGAAGAAAACTTGACGCATTTTATGAAATGAATGATACAGCTATAAAATGCATATAAAATGTTATAGGATAAAACATAAAGTAATCCCTATGAAAATCACATGCACAAATACATTTTCATGTTTAGTGATTTTATTGCATTAACATTCTCATCTAACACTAATAAAATGCTTGCTTGAAACCAATCAGGGATGCGTTTCCCAAAAGCAACTATGGTCACAAGTTCCGTCGTTACCAACAGAGTTCAATGGAAGTAACGACTATAGTTAGATAACGATGGTTTTGGGAAACGCATCCCTGATCAGAAGCTGATCATGCTTATATGCCAGTCAATGCTCAACATGCATCAGACTACAAACAATTTTCACAAACCTGAAACAAGTTACTGAACGGTATGCATGAACTAACATGAACCCCCAAAAAAGACAAAAATAAATTTAGTCTATTTAGATCACAAAACACATTGCATAAATATAATGGCATAAGCAATAGCAGTTTTTTATTTATTTTGTTATTTATTTAATTTAATGTAATTTTTTTCAGAACGATATAATGGTCTTAATAGCAATAATAATAATAATTATTATTATTATTATTATCATTACTATTAAGACCATCATATCACTCTGAAAAAGTGGCATTGTATAATGTGTAAAGTTAATTAATATTTTGTGCAATAATTCTTTTTTATTTTATTTACAAAGAAAAATCTTTCAAAAAAATAATGTATGTGTGTGTATATATACACATGCTAAATATACACACACACACACACACACACACATACATATATATACACATATGTAAAATATGTATGTATGTATGCACGTATATATATATATATATATATACTCTTGACCTCAGGTTGAAACTTTGCACATTTTAGTTGGATTGTTTGTTGAACATGCACGACAATATGAGAAAGATTCTTCAAAAAAAAAAAAAAACAATCACTCTTAATGCAGAAAGTGAAGGATATTGTGGTGCGCATCCGGATCAAGTGCATCATCCGCACTGACAGCGCATGAGAATCCGTTCTGTTTTGTTCGGCTCTGTTCTTTACCTCCCTCCTCCTGCTCTGGGCTCCGGGTCTGGAGACGAGCGCCGTGTCGCCGCACACCACCGCCGCGTCCTCCACGAACACGCAGTCCGGCAGCGCCTCGTCCGCGGGCAGCTCCAGCACCTCCAGCCCGAGCCGGTGCTTCAGGACTGACACGTATTCTTCATACTCCTCCTGCACCTTGAGCAGGTCCACCTCCAGACCGCCGCTCCTCAGCGCGTCTCTGGCCAGAGACTGTGGCACCGCGCGCACCACGGCGTGCGTAAAGCAGCCAAACCCAGACATCAGCCCAGCCATCGCTTCACTCCCTCGCCGCGACTCTGCGCGTCGTGTTTATTGTTGGACTGTTTGTTTGTTTGTTGTTCCCTGTTGTGGTTCTGCACGCGCACGGCGGCTCGAGCTCTGAAAGGGCGAGAGGAACAGCGCGCTGATGACGTCACGGACGCGCCCGACGCGACGCGCACCAATGTGATAAGAGATTTCTGATGCTTTATGAGGATGCGTTTAAAGACACGTGAACTTTATTATGACGCTTTTCTCTGTCTGTATACGTAAACTAATGCTTGTTTTGTTGTTGATGTAAGATGTTGTCAAAGATACAATCTTACTTTCCCTGATTATGTTTGTATTACATGTTTTGCAATAAAAAAAAACAATGTGATAAGAGAACGGAAAACAAACAAACAAAAAAAGTTATCAAATCTGAAATTTGTTTCTTTTTAAGCAACTTAAATAAAATAATTTTACATCATTATATATTTATATAGCTATCTTTTTTTATTTTTGCGATGTTTGTAAAAAATCATGATATTAATTGTCTAGAAAACAATTTTAATTGTGTAACGTCATTATTATTTTTGTTATTATTAATAAATAATATAATTTTACTTCTAATCTTTTTATTTGTATCTAACAAGACTTTATTCTCATCTTGTTTTTATTATCTGTGCTGTTGTTGTTGTTGTCTGTGTACTGAAAGCTTGTGAAATTAAAACAAATTCCTTGTATGCGCAAGCACACTTGGAAACAAAGCTCTTTCTGACTTCTGACTGAATGAATCCAAAGTGAATGAGCATTTTCACTGTGTTCCCTTGAAACGTTCTTGTTTTTTATAGCAAGTGGTTTTGGTTTTACAGTATAAGGTCTGTGGTTTAAATGACTTGAAGAGTCATATGGTGCAGTCATAGCTCAAATATGACTTTTGAAGCCGCTGTGTGTTTTTTTAAACATAAGTTGCTAAATAAGGACCACAAGGATGTGCTTCAAACACTGTAGTCCTTATATAGCAACTTAAACCCACAGGAAATTCCAGAGGGAACCCATGGAGAACTAACAGACTGACGTCATGACTGAACAGCTCCAGTGCAACATGTTGCATTCGTTTCAATCATTAATGTCACGTCTATAGCAACTGACACACTGCCATCGACTGCCTCCAAAAGACACTAAACTAAACCATCAGACCGTTGAAATATACACTGCACAAAAATACAATATAGAGATAATCATGAAAAATACATAAAAAATAGCCTAGCTCTTAAAAATGAAGGTTCTTTATTGACATTGATGTCAATAAAGAACACGAAGATATTTTAACATCCATAGAACCTATAAGTTCTTTTTAGTGGTTTCTTCAGATTATTAAAATATTCTTCTCATTAATAATTAAAAAAACATGGTTCTTTTAAGAAAGGTTCTTTGAGGAACCCAATTTGTCAATTATGAAACAAATTTGATTCAGCTATAACCCAGCTAACACCATTTTTTTTTTTTTTTTTAAAGAATGTTTTACTAACGTAATGGAAACATTATTTCTAAATGTTGTCTGAACGTCCAGTTTTTAAATGTTTTAAACATTTGTTGTTGGAAGATTCCATTTTTTTCATTTTGGGAAGGGAAATGTTACTTTTAAATGTTCTCTGAACGTTCTGAAACAAGTAGAAACATTAAAAAAAAAACGTTAGATGAATGTCCAACTAAAACGTTACATAATTGATGTATAAATAGCTTTTTTAAGTTTTTAGAACATTATTAAAGACCCGATAACTTTGAACAAACATTCTAATAACGTTACTGGAAAAACGTTCAGAGACTCTTGCCAGAACATTAGCCAAAGTTCCGAGAACAGAAACAGAAAATCTAACAGAAGACAATAGGGTCAGCTGAATTTGGTTCAAGTTTTGTTCTGTGTCAGTGCAGTTAAATCTATGATATTAAGTATTTAATATTAAATAGTATCCTTTAACATCCATGGAACTTTTCCATTGCACTTTATATAGTGGAAAATTATTCTTCAGATAATCCAAATATTCTGAACAAAGCAGAAATGTTCACTGCAAAGGTTCTTTGAGGAGACCTTCTATTGCATCACTGTGAAAACTCCCATTTGGAACCTGTATTTTTAAGAGCGTATTGACATGGGATGTGAATTGTTTAGTATGCATGAGGAACTCTCCATTTTTAGAAAGAATTTCAGAGCTCAGGTCACGCTGTTTGTGCGCACGGCTGGAATTCCTCTTTTCTATGGACATTCCTCAGTCTTTCCATCTTTCCGTCGAGCGCGGCTGGAATCGTTCTCCAGACATCCTTGAGTACATTCCTGCACACCCCAGGAACAAAGTTTGTCTTTTCTTGTTCCAAATCCACTCAATTATCCAGACCGGTCTAAACATTCCCGGAGCCCCACATTCCATCCTCTCATTCCGTTCCCCCCTTCCCTCCCTGAGCTCTGTTTTTCCATTCCTCCGGCTTTCCCCTTGCAGAGGAAATATGCGGGCTGAGGAAAGGCGAGCGGGTCCTAGCGCACCTGGCGCGCAGCTTGGAAGGCCGTAAAAGATTAATGAACTTTGAGCTTCAAAGACCTTTTGGAACTGGTTTTCGGGGACTAAACGCATTCTATAGCGGCGCTCTCTGCGTGAACATTATACAACATCCGCTGAGATGAACCTCTGCACCATAATCCAACCCTTACTGCTCCAGAACACCTCTGGAATATAGTTTACATTTATTCTGTTTCACATTTATTCATTTAGCGGACCTGTTATATGGAAGCATATAGGTAGCGAAATTCAATTTAAAATGCAATATGCAAAATGGCAACGCAATATTCAAAATGAAGACTACTGTTGGAAATGGCAAATGTAAATTATATAATTTAATTTTCATTTTACTTTTGCACCAAACTTTGCACGTATGGGTAATGGAGAATGTAAATTTAAATACAGAAATACAATGCCATTTTGAATATTGCATTTTAAATTGAATTTCGCTACCTATATGCTTCCATACTATTATGCCCCTTTTTAACAGATGTAATATAAGTCTCAAGTGTCCCCAGAATGTGTCTGTGAAGTTTCAGCTCAAAATACCCCACAGATAATTTATTATATCATTTTGAAAATGCCTATTTTGAGTGGAAGCAGAAATGCTGTTTTCATACATGTCTCTTTAAATGCAAATGAGCTGCTGTTCCCCGCCCCCTTTTCCAGAATAGGGCTGTGCCTTTACAGCTCATACCTCAGATACTCTGCTAAAAACATTTTTGGTTTTGATTGTCTATCACGCTAAAATTGTAAGTTTTAAAGCCATATTAGTTTAAACTTCTGATATACGGTTTTCCGAGCGAACACATCTGAAGCATGCGCACAGAAAGCAGCTGTCACAGAACTTCTAAAGTCCTCTTTCATGTCTTATTGTGCTTAAACTGTAAAATACACACACGTTTGTGTTAAAAACACACATAAGTTACAAAAACACAATCGGTTATGTCTATGAAAGAAATCGCATGTTCATATTAGATCTGTGTATTAAGTGACAGCAGCGTAATATTGTAACTTTACTGATGTCTATGCTTTTTATTTATTTTTTTATTCATCCTTTATTTAGCCAGGAGAATCTCATTGAGATTCACAATCTCTTCTTCCAGGGAGACCAGGGGTTTCATTTATAAACGTTCTGTGTGCACAAAATGGGCATAAAAAAAGTAATTTTAAAATACTTTGTCAGTGGCACGCCGAGTCAGACAATTGACCTATTGGTAAGCCCATCCCCTCAAACGCAGATGAGCCAATGGCAATTGAGTATCAGTTGCACGGGGAGCGGAACTCTGCAAGTACTCTCCAACTCTGACATCTTTAGGTTTCTGCGCCATAGAGAAACATTGGAAGATCCCAAGCTCGCATCGGTTTGATGAAGTTTATGCTAAAAAATGGAAAAACGATGTGCCTGGGGTACTTGTAACACTGATTCCAGGTATCCTGAGAGGATAGGCAATAGAATTTATTTTATTCCATTTCCTGAACCCACACAAAACAGAGCAAAATGTCTGTCTGTAAGCATTCAACTCTAATCCCAATGAAGACGAAAACGTTCATTTTCTGGTTGTCATACTCTCATTAAATCACAATTTTCATCTGCTCAAGCAGAACGTTAATGACATCTTGTGCGTCAGCAAGGTATCTCTGGCTAAAACCAGCTAACGTTAAAGTTAGTGAGTCCATGCTAATGTACAAACCTAAATAGCGAACTGTACAGTGTAGGTCAAAAACACATAAACGAAGGTCTACATTTCAGTGCGTCTCCATATTAAACTGGTTAAATGTACATTAATTTAATTGTACCCTGCGATACATGAACAGTGTTGATACGGGATGTTGTCATCCGCGATCGTGACGTCCGTAACATGAGACTTCTCCCGCTTGCATTGTGATCTGTAAACCCTGCTTCCAAATTAATTGAGTTACCCACCATATTTATTTTTAAATCTTTTGTGATCGGCTTGTTCTGAGACACTGCTAATGATGTATAGGTCTTATGCTGTCTAGGTAGGCAGCTCACTAGGTTTTGGAACAGTGCTAAGAATTTACTATGGTATCTATAGTTACAAAAACAACATTGTTAGCTACATTTATAGTTGTTACTACTGTAAAATCTCAATAAAAAGTGTATTCAACCAGCTCTTCAACATGATCTCACTATCAGCTCTATGTGGCTTTATTAGGTCATACGGAGTGAGATGTTCAACTGGAGCGTGTGATTTCATGACTTCATCCTGAAATGAATCTTGGCATCTTCCCTCTTGTACTTATCACACAAATCAAACACTCCAGAATCCCAGACTGTAAACAGATCAGATCCCACAGGATAAACACTTTCTCCGTACAGTCGGAGGAAGCACATGTCATGGCTAAAATATTTATCCAGGAGCAGCTGTGTAGACTGTAAAACCTCAGCATGAGGGGAAAATTCCACTCATCAGGATCACTATCGTTTATTCTTAAGCATTATTATTAACTAGGATAAATAAATTACACCTACTTGAAGACAGGAGAGGCTTTACTCAAAACCAGAATTACGATTTCTGCCTTTCACCCTGACAACCACATAGCAACACCCTGACAACCATTCAGAACTCCTTAGCAACCACCTAGCAACGGCCTAGTGCATCAGAGAATCATAGCAGATAGTTTTAG